GTACAAAAAGGTGACACAATCTGGTGGTACACAAAGGTGACACAATCTGGTGGTACAAAAGGTGACACAATCTGGTGGTACAAAAAGGTGACACAATCTGGTGGTACAAAAAGGTGACACAATCAGGTGGTACAAAAAGGTGACACAATCAGGTGGTACACAAAGGTGACACAATCAGGTGGTACAAAAAGGTGACACAATCTGGTGGTACAAAAAGGTGACACAATCAGGTGGTACACAAAGGTGACACAATCTGGTGGTACAAAAAGGTGACACAATCAGGTGGTACAAAAAGGTGACACAATCAGGTGGTACAAAAAGGTGGCACAATCAGGTGGTACAAAAAGGTGACACAATCAGGTGGTACAAAAAGTGATACATTCAGGTGGTACAGAAAGGTGACACAATCAGGTGGTACAAAAAGGTGACACAATCAGGTGGTACAAAAAGGTGACACAATCACCTTGGTACAAAAAGGTGACACAATCATGTGGTACAAAAAGTGATACATTCAGGTGGTACAGAAAGGTGACATAATCTGGTGGTACAAAAAGGTGACACAATCAGGTGGTACAAAAAGTGATACATTCAGGTGGTACAGAAAGGTGACACAATCAGGTGGTACAAAAAGGTGACACAATCAGGTGGTACAAAAAGGTGACACAATCAGGTGGTACAAAAAGGTGACACAATCATGTGGTACAAAAAGTGATACATTCAGGTGGTACAGAAAGGTGACATAATCTGGTGGTACAAAAAGGTGACACAATCAGGTGGTACAAAAAGTGATACATTCAGGTGGTACATAAAGGTGACATAATCATGTGGTACACAAAGGTGACATAATCTGGTGGTACAAAAAGGTGACACAATCAGGTGGTACAAAAAGTGATACATTCAGGTGGTACAGAAAGGTGACAATAATCAGGTGGTACACAAAGGTGACATAATCTGGTGGTACAAAAAGGTGACACAATCAGGTGGTACAAAAAGTGATACATTCAGGTGGTACATAAAGGTGACATAATCATGTGGTACACAAAGGTGACATAATCTGGTGGTACAAAAAGGTGACACAATCAGGTGGTACAAAAAGTGATACATTCAGGTGGTACAGAAAGGTGACATAATCAGGTGGTACACAAAGGTGACATAATCTGGTGGTACAAAAAGGTGACACAATCAGGTGGTACAAAAAGTGATACATTCAGGTGGTACATAAAGGTGACATAATCATGTGGTACACAAAGGTGACATAATCTGGTGGTACAAAAAGGTGACACAATCAGGTGGTACAAAAAGTGATACATTCAGGTGGTACAGAAAGGTGACATAATCATGTGGTACACAAAGGTGACATAATCTGGTGGTACAAAAAGGTGACACAATCAGGTGGTACAAAAAGTGATACATTCAGGTGGTACAGAAAGGTGACATAATCAAAATAATTTCTACAGACATTTTCCCATGCTGCAGTTGTAAAAAAATAAAAATAAAAAAAACAAGTATGGTCATGTGGCCACTAATTAGGGGTGGGTAGGGAGAAGGGGGGCGGTTTGTAACTTTTATAAAATGAGTCGCAGCAAGCGCTTTCTTTTTCAATAGAACCTATTATATTGCTTTTGCCAAAAATATAAAACAACATAAAATCGATTCTGAAATGAATGCCGACATTTTTTATCATCGTGTAGTAAGCGACTCGTACTCGTGGGTCACAAATTGATACGAGTTATCGTGAGACCACAAATTGAGCTGGTATCGATACTTCGCTGATTGCGATACACAGGATCGTGAGAGCACAAATCAAACAATGATACGTTTAGGGTTTAATGACGCATGCGATGTTTTTAAGCAATTTAGTTCTTGAATCCACCTCATCGGTACTTAAACCAGCTTCTAGCTTTCAGATAGACACACACGCAAACATTATATATATATATATATATATATATATATATATATATATATATATATATATATATATATATATATATATATATATATATATATATATATATATATATATATATATATATATATATGGGGACATTTTCTATCAATCCTAAATCAGTAATCGTTAATTGAACAACAATCAACGTACCTGACATGAAGAACGAAAACAGTTAATTATGTTAACGTTAATTAACCTTTCTGATACCTCTGTTCCATTTTGTTCAAATGTCCGTTCATCCATTAGTTTTATTTTGTTTTTGTAGCTAATGTTTTATACAACTTCTTTATGTGGTAACATTTCACGTGTATTGCTGCAGGTATAGCTGCGTGTATGGCTGCAGGTATGGCTAAACATTATCTTGTTATGGCTAATGAACTATTTTCTTGCGGAAGTTTAGAGAACTACTTCATGTGCAGATAAATCTGTTTCATACAAAAATAGACTCACTCAGCGGTGGACAGTAAAAATTAGCCGTGTGTCTTTTACCCCAAGGATATTGTCCTTTTGTTAGGACTTGACTGTTGTTAGGACACAAATTTTGTCCTGTAGACAGGACCTAGACTCTGAAGTTCTACTTCTGCAGGTCATTGCTCTAGACAAGCGCGCATTGTTACGTCATATCCGGTCAATATTTGAACAACATAGCCCCACCCCCCTCCCTCCCCCTTCCCGCTCAATATGTGAAACGCTCTAAACAAACAAATCGGCTTAAAACAAGAGAAAATTGATAACTGCCACTGTGACTAGAAACAGAATCCAACAGAACATTCAGCACAACATTAGATACAACATCCAACAGAACATTCAGCACATCATTAGATACAACATCCAACAGAAACAACCAACACAGCATCTAATACAACACCCAACACAGCATCTAATACAACATCCAACACAACATCCAACACAGCATCTAATACAACATCCAACACAACATCCAACACAGCATCTAATACAACATCCAACACAACATCCAGCATAACACAACACCAAACACTACACTAACAGATGACAACAGTGTCATAAAACAACGGACCCAGCAGATTTGTGATTGTCGCCCCTACACCAAGTAAAACAATTTGTAATGGCCAAGAATATTTCTAAATATTTGAACTTCACATTTTTACATACCAGTCAACAAATCACGTTTTTACATACCAGCATTTAAGCTCCACAATTCACGTGGCTGTTAAATGTGTGTGAAATATTTTATATCAAAGTTTAACATTCTAGTAAACATGTTACTTTAATCAGTTTCGACAACCGGTTTTAAATTTATTAAGTTGACTTGTAGATTACTTCCCTTCTCTAGTCTCGAGGTAATTACTTCCCTTCCTCATATTTATTTTTTTAACTTGATTATAAATTTTTTGTCTTCAGCATTACGCTGAAGTAAAACTGACTTGGGCAAATCCCTTATGAAGTTATCCGTCTGCTTGACCTACATGAATCTCTTCTGTCATTTATAGACGGCCCCTAAACTAAATCCAACAAGTCATTTTGACACCACAATGACGCAATCCTAGCCCCGCCCCAATGATAAGTGCCCTTCAATTGGGTTACGAGGGGCTTCCTGGTCTTGCTATATTTAGACCGTCGATAACATTCAACACAAATGACACACACACACATCTTGCAAACACAATCACATCAATCGCTCAGGTTCCTTAAACCACACATTTCTTCCAAATCTTTCTTAGGTAATAAAATGTTGAAAATTATTTCATAGAAAAATATTTTTATTACCAAAAAATGACTAAATGAAGAAATAAATAACAGCATTAAGGCATTGGTATCGGAGTTCTAACACAGCATCGGCTAGCTAGCGGCTACACAGCGTTGCTACACGACAACAACAGCACATCATGTGGTGCTCACAACATTCACCACAACTCACACACACACACATACACACACACATACACACACACATACACACACACACTGATACTCCCCATCACACCATGTGGTGCTCACAACATTCGCCACAACAACTCACACTCACACACACACACTGATATTCGCCATCATATCATGTGGTGCTCACAACATTTGCCACAACTCACACACACTGCCAACACAGTTCAGACACCTTATGGTATTCGTCCTCAGCAAACACACACACACACAATTATGTAAGCCTTCTCATTTAGTATTAACACGTTTAAACATACAGGCAATAGTCAAACACACACGCATACACACACACAGACACACATATATATATATATATATATTTATATAGCCTAAATGATGACAGCTATTGCCCGTTCTTTCCACTAAGACTTAATGACTAAGCGCTAAATTTCTGTCATATCAGTTTTTTTCTGCAAAATAATAATAATAGCTTTACAATTTGAATTGCGTTCAAATAACAGAAGAAATGTTAGCAAATGATTCTTCTTGGCCAGTATTAGTTCTCTTCCATTGGAGAAAAATTGGAAGCTTTGAAAAAGGTGACGACGTGTGAGGCAGTAGAATTTGAAATTTTCTGAATTTTTTTGTTGTAGATAATTTTGTCTGTCCCACTTCACTAACATTATTCGTGTGGAACTGGTTTGCTAACGAGGGAATGACACAGCGCCGTGTATGTGGTGGGCAAACTGAACACATATTGACATACATGATTAAGTTATACGTCTAGTGACGTACATAGAATTATCAATGACAAAAGTAAATGACAAGCAATACATGACATATGGACGCATATCATTGGTGGAACACACATTTGACGCAAACCAATCTAATGTCATCTCAAGAGTTACCTCATCTTTGGTCGAGTTTTCTGATTGGTACATGTCACAGAGGGAATGTCCCATGTCACAGAATCTATGCCCCATGTCACAGAATCTATGCCCCATGAAACAGAGGGTATACCCCAATAATTTTTGCCAGACACCAGGCGATACCACTGTGCCAATGGTGATCGTTTAAAAAAATATCTGGAAACTGTTCATGTTTGGAGGTTTAAAATCTGTTTCTGGAGACCCATGCAGAACAAATACATCATAACAGGTTGTATTTTGAGAGCATTGGAAGTTGTACAAAATATCTCGTACACACAACATTATGGGAACATGTACAAAATATCTCATACACACAACATTATGGGAACATGTACAAAATATCTCGTACACACATTATGGGAACATGTACAAAATATCTCGTACACACATTATGGGAACTTGTACAAAATATCTCGTACACACAACATTATGGGAACATGTACAAAATATCTCGTACACACAACATTATGGGAACATGTACAAAATATCTCGTACACATAACATTATGGGAACATGTACAAAATATATCGTACACACAACATTATGGGAACGTGTACACAAAAGAAATCACAGCCGCTGCATTGCTCAATTGAAAAGTTTCTCAAAAGTCAATCACTTTTAATTTTTGTTGAGCAGGAGTTCTTGATCGCTGGCTGCCCTCCTCTAGGTAGCAGTTTGGGCTACCAATGTCAACAAGTGCTACCTGTTAGCGAGTGCTACCTGCTAGCGAGTGCTACCTGCTAGCAAGTGCTGTCTGCTGGCGTGTGCTACCTGCTAGCAAGTGCTGTCTGCTGGCGTGTGCTACCTGCTAGCGAGTGCTACCTGCTAGCGAGTGCTGCCTGCTAGCGAGTGCTACCTACTATCGAGTGCCTCCTGCTAGCGAGTGCTACCTGCTAGCGAGTGCTAGTCGTCGAAGAGGTACTGACAGAGCGGCTCGTCCCTGCCCATGTTGTAAGGTTTGTAGCGCTTGCCCAACTCGCGATTTTTGTCGTAGTAGGCCTCCACCAGGGGGAGCTCTAGCAGGCTGTCCTTGAACCTGGGGTTAAGAATCACGTGGGTTAGTGGCCATCACAAAAGTTGCGCACACAAAAGTTGCGCACACAAAAGTTGCGCACACAAAAGTTGCGCACACAAAATAAATGCGCAAAGAGAAATTTCCGCACACAGAAAAATGCTCATAAGGAATAATGCGCACACAGAGAAATGCCACTCATAGATTGCTCAGCAAAGTGGATTATATCCTTGTGTGTGTATGTGTGTACGTTTGTGTTTGTTTGTGCGTGTTTGAGTTGGTATGTGTCTATATATGTATAAATATGTATTGCCACCCATTTCTTTATATTTTAGTAAATAAATGTATGCCGCCATAAAACCGGTAGAAATAAAAATTGTAAAAAAAAAGATTTTTTTTTTAGATTAGACATACATCGCAGCTTTGTGTTCAGGTGCTACTAACATGGGTGGTCAGTCCAAATTGTGTTGACCTCCGCGGGGGGGGGGGGGGGGGGGGTCGGTCACTGGTTATTTGCTGGTTTATTTATATTAGACTTTGGTAATAATAAACTGTAACTTAGACTTGACACACTGTAGAGCAATTGAAGAAATTTTACCAGCCAAGTTTCATCTGCGGCGTAGGCAATATATATAGTAATCTATAAAATACAATTACTTATAGATAAAAGTACTATACTATCATACTGTAACCCAAGGCAACTGCGATCAAAACCATGTTTCTGTGAGCGCTCATTTTTGTTTGCGCATATTTCTGTTTGCGCAATTTTCCGTTGCGCATTTTTCATGCGTTCTCACCTGTGTAGTCCTACCCCAGTGTGCTGCTATCACCTGTGTAGCCCTACCCAGTGTGTACCACCTCTCACCTGTGTAGCCCCCACCCCAGTGTTCTCACCTGTGTATCCCCACCCCAGTGTTCTCACCTGTGTAGCCCTACCCCAGTGTGTTCTCACCTGTGTAGCCCCACCCCAGTGTTCTCACCTGTGTAGCCCTACCCCAGTGTGTTCTCACCTGTGTAGCCCTACCCCAGTGTGCTACCCTCACCTGTGTAGCCCTACCCCAGTGTGCTACCCTCACCTGTGTAGCCCTACCCCAGTGTGCCCTCACCTGTGTAGCCCTACCCTAGTGTTCTCACCTGTGTAGCCCGTACATCCAGCACGTGACAGTCAGGGGCGTGGTGCTGTTCTCCATCTTGTCAGTGAAGAGCTCCACGGGGACCTGCCGCCTCTGGTACCAGTTGGGGTGGTCCTCGAACCAGTCCACGTAGGCCATGGTCTCGTCGTCCAGACGGTACAGCTCGCCGATGATTCGCTGCTCAAGACGAGGCTCATTAGCATAAACATGGCGGTTAACACATACACACACACGTCTATGTTTACCTCCCCCCCCCCCTTTCTTCTTTAAGTCTCTTACCCCCTCCCCTCCTTATGTTAATCGAACTCAACCCCACCATTCGCTGATTTGATTGGGGCGTGTCTAAAGTGTCTAATTCCCGCCTCTCTAATGTTAGTGGGTGGGCCATGTCCACTATCAGCGGGCGTGTCTTACTTCATCTCTGTCAAAGGGCGTGTCTCATATGCCCTACCCCCATCTATTAAAATCAGAGGGCGTTACTCACATGTCCCGCCCCCCCCCCCCCCATGTATTAAAATGAGTGGGCGTTACTCACATGTCCCGCCCCCCCCCCATGTATTAAAATGAGTGGGCGTTACTCACATGTCCCGCCCCCCCCCCCATGTATTAAAATGAGTGGGCGTTACTCACATGTCCCCCTCTATTAAAATCAGTGGGCGTTACTCACATGTCCCGTCCCCTCCTTGTGCAGCAGGAAGGGGATGTTGAAGGGCGTGGTCACCAGGAGCGGATACTTGGCGACGGTCCGGGCGTGTCCCACAAACTGGGCGCCCTGCGGACCCTTGGCGAACAGGTGGTGGTGGTTGGGCTCGGTGGACTTGAGGGTGCCGTACATAAACACCAGGTGGGGGTGACTGCACGTGCTGATGACGTCAGAGGCTGCGAGAAGATTCGGGGGTCACATTAAGGCCGGACCAAACATTCGGGGGTCACATTAAGGCGGGACCAAACATTCGGGGGTCACATTAAGGCCGGACCAAACATTCACATTTCACTTTTTTTTTACAGAAATAAAATCCTGTCTGTCTGTGTTTGTATGAGTGTATGTAAACACTATAACTTGAGCAGAGTTTCTTCCAGGCATCTCTTCGGGGGGGCGAAGCCCCCCCCCCCCCCCCTAAAATTTTTACCGCCCCCCCCCCCCCGAACGAAATGAAATTTATATAATTTATATAGAAAATATATACTTTTAACAGTGTCCGCCCCCCCCCCCCGAAGAAAGTCTACCGCCCCCCCCCCCCCGAAAATTTCAAGTGCCCCCCCCCCCCCCCCGGAGAAAAAAAAGTCTGGAAGAAACACTGAACTTGAGTATCATATAATTTTAGTTGACTTAATTTCATATATAGATCTACGTATTATATCAAATTTGTAGGGTTTTTTTATTAACTTTTGAGCGATTTCCGACCCTGCGGAAGTGGTGCTTACTCTAATTCCGGTTTTTCAAAAGCTTACAAATTAAGTTAGCTGGGCAATTTTTAAAAATATATTTATTTGATTTCTATCAACTTTTGAATTATTACCGGTAACCGGAAGTGGTACTTGATTTTTGTGGGAATACGACAACTAGAACACTGTTTGTTAGGTAGATTAAATTTCATATAAAATATTTAATACTTGGATTACTCTGAAATTATGAGTGACCACCCGATATCCGGAAAATATACTTTAGTCTATTTCCGGTTTCTAAAATACCGTAACATATTTACGTTTTCAAGTAGCTTGACAGAATTTTATACCGAATTTTGATTTTAATTCCTTCGAATTTAGCGTGATTTCTGGGGACCGGAAATAGTATTTTACGCTATTTTCCATTTTTAAAAATATAAGAATTTTGGAATTTTTATTTCACTGTCGGGACGCAGTTCTTTTTTCCATGCGAATCTATTAAAAGAGTGTATAAGAGAGAGGAAATTAGTGTCCGATAAAGGGGCATTTCGCTCTATTTCCGATTTCTGTAAATAAACATTCAGAATGTGATAATTTTAAATCATATTTTCACCTTTATAAGTTGTTGTTTTGTTTGTGAAAAATAATCGTTTTGCCGCAAACTTTTATATTAATAACCCGACTGCACACTAGGTGCCATTCTTATCCTTGATGTATCTAAGATCGTACAATTTCGAGGAGATCACTCCCGTTTTATTCTTAAAAAAGAAACAAGTTTAATTTTGTATATCTAAATCATTTACTACACATAAAAATCTTATAAATGTTTGTTGTTTTAGATCAAGTTTAGTGCTGAACCAGGTTAAACAATCCCAACTGCCAATAAAAGCTACGCCCTAAATCCTCGTCAATGACGTCATCAAAAGTTGGGCACGAGAGCCGAGTCAAGGGCTAAACGTGTCCCCACTACGTCATCAAAAGCTGTGTACTTAAGTCGAGCACATACCCTCCAGTCTGGACATCTTGAGAGGCTGGTGAGACGCTCTTCAGTCTGTGGGGAGAGAAGGTTGGCTGTCAGAAACACATTCCAATTTGATATGGGGATGGTGGGTTAGGGTGGGGGGAGGCTTGTGGTGAAGTTGGGGGCACTAAGACCCCGGGCTGAGAGTTAGGGGCACTGGGACCACCCCTTCCCTCCCGCAGCCCCACCCACCCCTACCCCCACCCCCACGCCCAAGAATTAGTCATGTCCATATCTCCCAAACATCTTCCCGCGGTATTAGCTCCGCCCCTTCTTCCCCCATCTATATGCTAATTTTCCAATCACTAAAAAATGGTTCTAGATTTTTCCGTAGATAGATCGATATTTTTTTTTCGTTGTTAGATCGATTACATCTGATTACGTTGGGTAGGGAAAGATTTCTTAAAGACTGCTCGAGTTACTGCCCTTTATTGGACAAACAAAAATAAACCAAGAAAGTCAGTAGTAATTGCCGTTTATTGGAACAGGAAAATATTGCCCTTTATTTAGAGCAACAAAAGATTTCATGAGTTTCCTAATGAGTTGCCTACAACCGGCATGAGTTGCCTAAAGTCGGCATGAGTTGCCTAATGAGTTGCCTACAATCGGCATGAGTTGCCTAAAGTCGGCATGAGTTGCCTAATGAGTTGCCTACAATCGGCATGAGTTGCCTACAGTCGGAATGAGTTGCCTAATGAGTTGCCTACAATCGGCATGAGTTGCCTTACAGTCGGCATGAGTTGCCTACAGTCGGCATGAGTTGCCTACAGTCGGCATGAGTTGCCTAATGAGTTGCCTACAATCGGCATGAGTTGCCTACAATCGGCATGAGTTGCCTACAGTCGGCATGAGTTGCCTAATGAGTTGCCTACAATCGGCATGAGTTGCCTACAGTCGGCATGAGTTGCCTAATGAGTTGCCTACAATCGGCATGAGTTGCCTAATGAGTTGCCTACAATCGGCATGAGTTGCCTAAAGTCGGTGTGAGTTGCCTAAAATCTCTGACAACTTTGTCAAGCAGGAAACTGTTGTTGACAGCGAGCATTAATTAGCTGTTAAAAAAATGATACAATCATCCAAACAATCATTTACTCACTCATATATAGAGCCATTTCTACAATCACCTATACTATAGTCTACACAATTATTAATACAATCATCTACACAATCATCTCTACAATCGTGTTTACAATCATTTGTACAATAATTTGTGCAGTCATACATAATATCATCTACACAATCATTTGTACAATCAACTACACAGTCATCTGCGAAATCTCGAACACAATCAAGAACACAATCAAGAACACATTCATGAACACAATTAAGTACACAATTATGTACATAATTACGTACACAATTATGCACACAAGTATGTGCACAATCAAGAACACAATTATGTACACAATCAAGAACACATTTGAGTACACAAATATGTTCACAATTAAGTGCACAATTAAGTACACAATTAAGTACACAATTAAGTACACAATTAAGTACACAATTAAGTACATAATTATGTACTCCAGAGTTTCTTCCAGGTATCTCTTCGGGGGGGCTAAGCCCCCCCCCCCCGAAAATTTTTTACCGCCCCCTCGAACGAAATGAAATTTATATAATTTATATAGAAAATATATACTTTTAACAGTGTCCGCCCCCCCGAAGAAAGTTTACCGCCCCCCCGAAGATTTCAAGTGCCCCCCCCCCCCGGAGAAAAAAGTCTGGAAGAAACACCGATGTACACATCAAGAACACAATTAAGTACACAATCATCTTCACATAAATCACTAGTGGAATACATGTATAGAGAGGCCAGCCAACATTGGACCACATACGTCACTAGCAGTAACTTGATGTAAGTTTTGTATCACGTCATTTCTGCAAGTTCTACTTCACTGAACAAGTTAATCAGTTTTATAAGGCGTTGGTTCTTAAATACAAAATAAAGGAAAATCCCGACCTTAAGCTAAATGGTATTGTAAGAAACGTAGAACAAATGAAAGTGAATCCTTAATTAGACCTGGATCAATTAGTAACCAGCGCTACAAACTCGCTCATAATTTTCATTGAAATGTTTACCGTAATGATCGTCAACTAGCATGGGCAGATAACCGCAGTTGTTTGGTACGAACTGAGGCTGCTTGTTATCGTCCTTAGCTATTGACCCGAGATAGGGAGGTTTGTTCAAATGTTTTTGTCTCGATAACAAACATCTTTTGACACCACCCCACCCCACCCCTACTCCGCTGGTTTACTAAATGCCACTATGAAGTCAACAATAGATCTAAGTCCCAGGTGACATCACTCACGGTTTGAAATGCGTTTTTAGAAGTCACAGATCGAATAGAAAAGATAGACACCCTATACAAACAAATGACCTAATGGAAACAAATGACCTAATGTAAAATGACCTAAATAAAAAAAATGACCTAAAACCTAAAGATGACAATTAGCCACGTGACCTACCTGTGGTGGTGTAGTGACGTCTGCAAAGTTCGTTAAGCCGGACACCTGCAGCAGATCAACAGATGTAGATCTAGTCCAGCCTGTCTCATATCTGCCTGTCTCTGTCGTCACGTGGACTGGCGCAAGTCGCCGGCCGGGCGTGTGGGTGTCGTCTGCTGGACTGACGGAGCCGTCTGCCGCCTGCACTTTTTATTGTGCAGTTGCTGGGACGTCAGGCGACCGTCAGCAGGCGGGAGGGGTGGGGTGGGGGAGGGGGTGCGAGTGGTCCTGTGAATGAATGGCCATTGATTCTTGTAAAAGCCAAATGCTGTTAGAAGCGTGGGTGGATTATTTCCCCTTACTGGCTCGCTTCCCTCCCCTGTCCCCTGACGTCACTGGTTTAATTTTTTGGTGATGACGACAGCTGTTTGTTTAAGGGCCTTTTAGTTCAGTGCTCAATTGTAATGGTACACGATTCTTATCTACATACACTAAAGGTATGGGATGGGGGGGTCTCGAAAATTTGTAATAAATGTGAGATTGTGGGCTGTTGTGTACCAATAAGTACTAACTGTTGCCACCTACAGAAGTCGAACAAACGATTTACTTACGGCCCTTGAGTAGCCATAGAAATAAAATGTCACGAGAGAAATTTGACCCGCCTGTTTCTAAGAACTCGGTGATGACCTACATTTTAATGGCAACATTCGTCAGAACCCAATAGCTTGGTTTTCATACAGAGGTACACTAAGTAGAAAGTTGCCAACACCTTTATACAGAGGTACACTAAGTAGAAAGTTGCCAACACCTTTATACAGAGGTACACTAAGTAGAAAGTTGCCAACACCTTTATACAGAGGTAGGCCTACACTAAGTAGAAAGTTGCCAACACCTTTATACAGAGGTAGGCCTACACTAAGTAGAAAGTTGCCAACACCTTTATACAGAGGTACAATAAGTAGAAAGTTACCAACACCTTTCGGCAAAAAGCTCATGGTTGATAAATTCGAACAAAACCTCGAGTTCAAACACACTGGCAGATAAATCTCGATCCCCTTCAACACTAATAATTAAGAACGAAGAAGAAGAAGAAGAACCAACACCTTTATACAGAGGTACACTAAGTAGAAAGTTGCCAACACCTTTATACAGAGGTACACTAAGTAGAAAGTTGCCAACACCTTCACTAAATGGCCTGACGTGATAGCGCATGCACCATGGTCATGACTGATAAGGTCGGTAGAGCAGACAAGGTCCGTCAAATACCTGTCTATGTAGAGCAGATAAGGTCTTGCTAGAGCAGATAAGACAATTTTCATTCATTGAGTGATTCTAGAGTAGAGCAACCAACGCTTTCCACTTTTTCCCTCTAACAGTGGCTGCTGGGCCGGACACTACTATAGGTCAGAAACCTGTTTGACCTCTGACCCCTGAACAAGACAGCTGTACAGTTGACGCCTCTACTCCCCCTACATATTCATTAGGTTCTACCCCCCCCCCCCCCCTCATACCCACACATCAAAGGCCTTGTGGGTGACGCCACTGACACCAATCAACACATTGCCTAGAACATTCGAGGGCCATACTGAGACAGCCCTTGACGGTGACGCCACTGACACCAATCAATACATTGCCTAGAACATTCGAGTGCCATACTGAGACAGCCCTTGACTAAAACATCTAGTAGGTGACGCCACTGACACCAATCAATACATTGCCTAGAACATTCGAGTGCCATACTGAGACAGCCCTTGACTAAAACATCTAGTAGGTGACGCCACTGACACCAATCAATACATTGCCTAGAACATTCGAGTGCCATACTGAGACAGCCCTTGACGGTGACGCCACTGACACCAATCAATACATTGCCTAGAACATTCGAGTGCCATACTGAGACAGCCCTTGACGGTGACGCCACTGACACCAATCAATACATTGCCTAGAACATTCGAGTGCCATACTGAGACAGCCCTTGACTAAAACATCTAGTAGGTGACGCCACTGACACCAATCAATACATTGCCTAGAACATTCGAGTGCCATACTGAGACAGCCCTTGACTAAAACATCTAGTAGGTGACGCCACTGACACCAATCAATACATTGCCTAGAACATTCGAGTGCCATACTGAGACAGCCCTTGACTAAAACATCTAGTAGGTGACGCCACTGACACCAATCAATACATTGCCTAGAACATTCGAGGGCCATACTGAGACAGCCCTTGACTAAAACATCTAGTAGGTGACGCCACTGACACCAATCAATACATTGCCTAGAACATTCGAGTGCCATACTGAGACAGCCCTTGACTAAAACATCTAGTAGGTGACGCCACTGACACCAATCAATACATTGCCTAGAACATTCGAGTGCCATACTGAGACAGCCCTTGACGGTGACGCCACTGACACCAATCAATACATTGCCTAGAACATTCGAGTGCCATACTGAGACAGCCCTTGACGGTGACGCCACTGACACCAATCAATACATTGCCTAGAACATTCGAGTGCCACACTGAGACAGCCCTTGACGGTGACGCCACTGACA